ATGCTTCTTTAAGTGAAAACTGCATCATCAGGCATACTACGCCACAAAAGCTAATACAGTTTGTCTTCTGTCAAAACAAAAGAGACATCCACCTGGTGAAAGAGAGTTTGGAAGAGACTCCAAACAGGTGTTGGGCTTTTATAACCCCTTTGTAGTCTTCAATATCAAAACCGGGTACCCCAGAATAGGAAATGTATCTAGCATACATATCGTAATTAGAAGAGACGTTCGTGGGAGGAAGTTCTCAAAGATCAGAGCTGGGAAGAACTGGGAATAATAGGATGTAATGCATTGGGATCGCATTAGCATGCTCATCAGGATTCTTGTCTCTTGGCTTAAAAGCTTTGCCCCCTAGATTTACTTGGGGAATAAAGACTGGCTCTTGTTGAACAAATTAGGGAACACCAAGTTATGGAGGATGCCCCTGATTAAAAAGTCTGATGCCCCGGTGTGGCAACCACATCTGACGTTGGTCAATAAGAACGAAGCACTGATATAAGATCACATAGTGAATGGGAACCATCTCTTGATAAGATGTTCTAAGAACTCAGGATTGCGTAGCACTCCATGGTTAGAAGCAATTCCCAAAAGATGAGGGGAATAGAGAACCTTTACTGTGATAGTAGGTGCAATATTGTTGACATCATCATCAGAGCTTTCATGACCTATCTCATCTGAGTTTTCAATCAATTATCTTCCTGCTTGAAGATATTTTTGACTATGGACCAAAGCTTGTAGGTATACCATATGGAGTTATTCCCTAACCGATCCCTGAACAAGTGCAGTAAGAAATCAAAGCTAAACCTCCGAGGAGAACCATGTCTGAATCAGAATCCCCAATCATTGAGTACCTTTTATGGATGCATGAATATACATGGAGTGCCTGAATAGACGCCATGTTATGTCCCTTCATTCCCAAGGAATTTACGTGCTTTGATTTTACGTATGGAAAAGTTTGGCATAAGGCTTACAAATACGATTCCTTGGAAATCATAGAACATGTATGCTAAGTATGTGGTCAACCATGTTATGTATGCAAAGGCGTGAGATCAAATGGGTTCAAGGTTCCATCATTTCTGGGTATGATTGTTGCACTGCTTCTGAACCAAATGAATATCACCAATTTAGAGGTCTGGCACAGCTTCTGCACATATAAGATCTAAGTACTATGTAGATCTAAGTAGCATGAGATCAAGGCTTCAGGAACATCAGGTACTGTTGAGTATTCCTTAATATGCTGGGAATACCAAGATTAAAGGCTTGGATGAACTTCCAAGTAAGCAAGTCAGGAACTCAGAAAATAAATCTGAGAACCATATGGTCACCAACAGAACACCATATGCATAAGTCATTGACAGAAGTCCATAACATGATCATTAGAACCACTAATCACCATCCGATCACAGTCTCCATCTGAGCATGAGTAACCATTTGAACATAGCACCAACTGTACCTGTAATGACAAATCCCTCCCCACTCATGGGTGAAGACTAGGTCAGGGTAAGACAATGGTAACTCGAAAATCATGGGTCCGCCTGAAAGTACTATGGGCTTACCCACAGACGTGGGTGCCGATAGTAATTCATTTGAACCTCATCCGAGCATGGTATATGACAAGACTGCACTAATCGGACCATGTCCTATAGCCGTCATGCCCCCACTATATTCCTAGTGTCCTAGTGCACTCTGGCCTGGGTATTGGGCCTTTTACCTCAATAGTGACATCCCCACCCAACATTGAAAACCGAGTCCAGCATAATAGATAACAAATAGGGAAAGCAATAAAATGCAATGCAAACTTATGCTCAGGAAAACATGTACAAATGAGTAAACTGAAAGCATAAAAATAAACACCCAAAGAAAAGAAAGCAAGAGCTAGGAGCGACTCCGGGATGGACCAGCATTTGGTCGACCAGTTCCCCAGTGAAGTCGCCAGCTGAAACAACCGGCTGAAAATCATCAAAACAATGAAGTCGCCATCGAACGTCTTTTATCCCACATGTAGGGAAAGGTAAACATCGAGAAAACCTGATGAGGGAGAAGTCACGGTCTTACGACCAAGAGATCGGGTAAGGGAGTCTGTTACACGAGGGGAAGGTATTAGCACCCCACACGCCCGTAGTACTCTACGGTATCCACTCTTGTTATCTAACTTATGGGTGTGTTTAATCTATGCTTACTGTCTACTATACTACTGAAGGGAATGCATGCAAAAGAAAGGAGAAAAGAATGTAGGGAAAATAAAATTGTGCTCGCTTGGGCCCTACCCCAATGCCTACGTATCCCTTTTAAGGAATCAGAGCAGCCGTAGTTCGGCTTATATGTTTTTGTTTATTTGTATTTTTTACTGAACAATATTAATTTCGCCTTCTGCCGTAACTCGACCGTTGGAGACTTACGCGTCAGCACAGAACTGAATTAACATGCTCTCTTGAAAAGTTTGGAAATAAATGTGCCTGGACGCACAAAAGTTTGAATTTGTTTGTTTTTTGTAATGAACGATAGTAATTTCGCCTTCTGCCGCAACTCGACCGTTGGAGACTTACACGTCAGCACAGAAGTGAATTAATATGCTCTTTTGAAAAAGGTTTTTTGAAAGGAAGGCCCGAAGGCAAAAAGAATTTTATTGGTTGGTATTTTTGCTTGTAGATAATAGCTAGTTAACCTCAAGAGAGAGATTTTAGCCATTTCTCTACTTATTCATGAAATGAGTCTTTGAGACTTAAACCACACCAAAGCTTAGAATAAGAGATCAATAAGGTCGAGAAGAGACCCGCTTATCGTCTCACATACTTAACGAAGATATGATTCTCGTCAGTAAATTTTTATGTGTTTTTGAAGTTTGTAAAAAAGGAGAAGTTTTTGTTTTAATGTATATGCAAAAAGGAAGAAAAGTCACAGGGAGACTAGCCTATTTCTAACTCTAATTTTATCATGCATTGTTAGACCTAAGTCAAGTATGAGTGAAAGAGAAACATCTACCTAATGTTAGCATGCATATGGTTTGCGATAAAGGAATGCAATAAAGTCCGAAATGAGGGATAAAATAAGGTTGTGACGATACCGAACGGAGAAGGTTCGTTGCCTCTTCAAAGTCCCGCAAGTGGTAAGAAAACTCTACAGAAGTTACTCCGCATGAGTGATCGAAAATTAATATCCAAGCATTTCCCATTGCGAAAGTTACATCAATATCCAAACAAAAATCGGCATGTTTCCTTTCCTTGAAATTCTGTTTTTTCTCTTCTCTGAATCCAATTACGTTTCGATTATTGCTCAAGCGTTTGTTGCTGTTGTTGTTGATTGAAGGTACGGTGAAGATGAAAGATGATTTTCAATGGTAGTTGGATTTGTTGTTGGTGTGACGCGATGATGATGAAAGACGAAGCTTTGTTGATGAAATTGATTGTCAGAGATATGTTGCAACAAGATGATTGCAGATGGAATTTTGTGATGAAGGCTGCATATTCAAAACTTGAAGTGGGGTGGAAATTTTCTGGGTCACAGTAAAGAGTGTTAAGATTGAAGGTGGAGGTGAAGGATGAATAGTGATAAGGGTTGAAAATATGGTTGTGGTGCAGATTGGTTGTTCTTGAATGTCATAGCCTAACGCGCTTCTTGAAATGACGTATAACGAGGTTGTGACATCCAATTTATTGAAGATGAAAGAGGGTGATGAAGAGTAGAGTAATTCTGGTGAAGGGGCGATTTAAAGAACATGAAGATGAAGTTGATGAAATTCGATTGGAGGAGTAATTTGCGGTGGTTGCAGAGAAGAGTAAGAACTGTGAAGAAGTTTCAGAAGATAATGAAGCAATATTGATGATTATGCGATTTCAGAGAGAATTGGAAGGTGAGTTTGTTTTGTGTTGAATCATAAAATCCTCCCCAAACTGAATGATCATCTCCCTGTTATATAGATCTTCTGCTATATTGTTTAGAAGATGGGATTTGGTTAGAAACTGTTTAGAGTTTGTTAGGAGTTAGTTTTGGGGTTTGTTAGGACAGTTAGAAAATCCTTTTATAAGTTATGCAGTGTTGTTTAGTTGGGTTAAAAGGAATTAGTTATAGAATTGGTTAGGCGTTAGTAACTGTTAGAGTTAGTTTTTTTTTGAAACTGAAATTCAGTTATGTGACCTTGAAATGAGCTGGCACTATTTGTTAGTTTGTAATTCTGTTTCTGATTCCATCATTTATATTTGCAGCATGCGGAGCAGCACCAAGAACTATTGCTTCATCAGCCTCATGATTTTGTATGCAAATATATGGAAGTCATCTTCAAGTCTCCGATTCAAAGCTCATACAGCTTTCCTGGTGCTAACAATCACTTCTGTCTATTCATTCTTTTTTTTGACAAAGTGGTGAATGGGAAACCAGATGCATATAGTCTCGTTTCAAGTGCTTCCTTATTATTCTTCGTTCTTCACTCTCTTCAACAGATGATGGAATAGAAAACGAGTATTTTGACCCGCAAGGTGAAAATTCACTTGTCCTTGAAATGGATTCATTACTACTGGAACAGCTTAAAACTTGTATGAAGGAAATTGAAGAGGAGAATTTGAATCTCGTAGACAGGCTTATGGAGCTCGTGAAGGAATACAATCTAGATAAGAGTGAATTACATTTACTTGGTAAGTCTGATTATGTAAAGGATTCTCTGTCATCAATAAAGATCCATAATCTTAATGAAACAGTGAAGTTGATGGTAGAAGCTGGTTATAAGAAAGAGTGCTATGATGTGTATAGCAGTTGGCGCAAGGTATTCTTGAAGTGATGCGGTTTTTGTTGCAGATTTTATCATTGAAGTTTGATAATAAGTTGATGAAGATGTTGATGGTGATGATGCGCAGAAATTGATGAATCAAGCTGCCAGGTTCATAGAAAACCCAAGATTGAAGATAATTTTTCAAAGCGTTTTTGCAGATTGATGTGGTTGTGAATCGAGAGAGTGTCGAGAACGATTTTCCTTCTAGTGAGATTACTTGAATCTTCTTTCTGAGTTTTTATTTTTCTTTTCCAGTTCTGTGTTTGTTGTTGTGTTGATGTTGTTGCAGGTATCGCTTCTGGGAGCAGGAACCACTGAAACCGACACTAGCGTTAAGGAACTTGGGTCCGATCCTTGAGTCAGTGCCGACGGAATAGGCCACCTGTTGAATGTTTGCACCAGTGGCTTCGCAAAGTGCTGACATTGCATTAACTGATGAAATCCTTTGAGCCAAAAAGGCATTAGCAGCAAGCTTAGATAGCTCGGCAGACCAGAGATTTGTGGTTAGTATTCTCTCCTCGGGAACCCAATGAGCATAAACACTCTTCAAAGTTTGAACAACTGTAAAGCCTTCCGGGGTTTCCCTGCCTCCAATAAGAACACGGTCTGGATTAAAAAGATCTTTGATTGCGGTTCCCTCAGCAAGGAATTCCGGGTTTGATAGAATCTGGAATTTGATTCCCTTGCTATTGTGAGTCAAGATTTTCTCAATAGCCTCAGCAGTTTTGATAGGAACAGTTGATTTCTCAACAACAATTTTGTCAGACTTTGAGACATCAGCAATCATATGAGACGCGCTCTCCCAATATGTCAAATCTGCTGCTTTGCCAGTACCGAGACTCTGAGTTTTAGTCGGGGTGTTAACAGAAACAAACACTATGTCAGCCTTAAAGACATGCTTTTCAACATCAGTGCTGAAGAAGAGATTCTTGCCACGACACTGATTTACAACATCGTCAAGACCAGGTTCATAGATTGGAAGCTAATCGCTGTTCCAGGCTGTGATGCGGGATACAGATATGTCGACAACAGCCACTTCAATGGATGGACATTTAAGTGCAATGACTGCCATGGTTGGACCACCAACATATCCAGCACCAATACAGCAAATCTTCACCATTTTGATTTTCTAAATAACCTTGAGAGAAGAGTGATGAAACGGTTTTGACTATGAGGGAAACGAGAGAAAGAAATGAAGGTTTATGGTGGTGTTCTTATGTGTTTCACAAGAACTTGAATCAAAATTTCCCCTGTATGCCATATTCCTATAAGAGCTTTGGTTCAAATAAACTTGCACACCATGCTTTGGATCTTAAAACTCAAATTTCGATGTTTGAACTTCCAATTCTAAACACCTCGCACCTCAAACTCGCATGAATGGAGACCCTTGACTTTTAACCTTGAATGATGACGGATATTTGTAAAAAATGATGATGATTTGTACTTGGAATTTGAAACTTTGATGACTGAGATGCCTTTTGTAACTTCGGTGTAATGAATTGAATTTGTAATGAACAAAACTTTATAACTTCTTGCTTGACAAATTTCCAATTATTAAAAACATTTCTCTTATTCATTTTGAACTTGAATGGATACTTGAGTAAACTTGAGACAAACATGATAAACACTCGAATGTTATTTAAATGAATCTTTTTATCCTTTACCTTGGGATGAACAATGATGTGAGAAAATCTTGAAAATAAAAACTTGAATCATGAAGAGATTTACTTGATACCATGTACTTTAATCTCAACTTATATTCATGTGCCATCTTCCTCCGCAAGAATTTATGAAATAAACCTTCGGGAACGCTATTCCCTTTTTTATCAAGTTGAGCCTTAATCCATGTTTGAAACCAAAGTTCTTACACCAATATCCAAACAATAGCTTGTACCAATTATTCGCAATGCCTTGACCGTCAAGCAACCAAATTTACCATACAAAATATCTTGAATCATGACGTACCCAATCCTAATTGATTAACTTAAGGATAGATGAACTTAATGCAACAATGACATAGTCTACAACCTGTAATGCAAGCATCATATGCATCCTGGATTGATAACAAATCTTGATCCTTTAGAGAAATCTTAATACCCCTCTAGTATTGACAAACCTTGACCAAATGATAAGCACAATGATAGAATGAGGTGTTTTGAATCATGTACGCGAGATCACAACCTTACATTATTGACAGGAATACCCTGCAACCTATTGTTCAACAGAAGATAATAGCCTTGTAGCTTGATGGAGAAGAAATCCAAAAAATGAGAATGAACCAAAACCCTAATTCCACAGCTTGTTGCCCGAATAAGAAATCATCCCTTATTGGATACGAGCGCCTTAACCACTGGGAAACCCTAGTATCACATAACCACTGGACTTTGAACCTTAGAGCTATATTGAATGAAATGTATGCCATGTTAGTGACCTAATGAAATAGATGCAGATGAATGCAAAAGTATAAGCCAAAAATAAAAGAAATTAGGAGGGAAAATTTTGGGGTGCAACAGTAGCCTCTGTGGAAGATATTGTTACTCCATTGTTGACTGTCAAAAGTAACCTGTTGCTAGCCGGTTTATTTCCGGGATGTAGTAAAGGTTGCCATCTATGTGCTGTTTCACCTGCTGGTTGTCCTTTGTTGAAGTCAGGCATCCAAAACCTGATGGATAACAAAGAGATCTTGTTCGAGAAGATTGTTGTTCCTGCTATCCCCGCTGAAGAAGTGTCCATTGTTACTATTTTCAACAACCCTCCTAAGGCTCCCTCAAAGAAGCCTGTCAAAATCATGTCTACTCAGAAGATTGCTCCTATCATCATCACTGTTCCGGGGCCCCTCCCCTATACATCTGACAAAGCGGTCCCTTGGCACTATAGGGCAGATTTTTATGTGCTCGGAGTAAAGCAAGAGTTTGATACTAGTACCGGCGTCAGCAACATCACCGGGCCTGCCAAAGTCACTCGTAGTGGTAGGCTCTTCTCACTTGATATTGCGCCACCAACTATTCAGAGACCTCTTGTCATTACACCTGCAAGTATGCCCACTTCCCTTCCTGATCAAGTTCCTGTTTCTACCCCTGCTGCCGAGTCATCTGACGCTCGGGGAAAAGGGATTGCTACTGATGTGCCTGCCCGGACAGAGGCACCGAAGACTACCAATGTTGAAGCTTCAAAGCAGGAGATGTAAGAAATTCTTAAAATTATCAAGAAGAGTGATTTCAATGTAGTTGAGCAGCTGGGGCACACCCCCTCTAAAATTTCTATGCTATCACTATTGTTGTGTTAAGAGGCCCATGCCAAGGCCCTGATTACCTTCCTGAAGACGGCCCACGTGCCACAAGAGACGTCTGCTGATCAATTTACCGATTGTGTGGCCAACTTGACTGCTGATAATGGTTTGGGATTCTCCGACGCTGATCTGACTGCAAAGGGGAAAAACCATAACGATGCCCTGCATGTCTCCATTGAATGCAGGGGAACTACTCTTGCCCATGTGCTGGTTGACACTGGTTCTTAGTTAAACGTATTACCCAAGAAAGCTCTAGACAAGATGGATTGTGAGGGTTTAGAGCTCAAGCCAAGTAACATTGTTGTCCGGGCCTTTGACGGGTCCAAAAGGATGGTACATGGTGAAGTTGATATTCCAATCAGGGTTGGTTCTCAGGTCTTTGATTCGACATTCTATGTGATGGACATCCGACCATCCTATTATTGTTTGCTGGGTCGTCCATGGATCCACAAGGCTGGAGCTGTGACCTCCACATTACATCAGAAGCTTAAATACCCGGTCAGAGGGAAGATTGTTACAGTTCAGGGGGAGGAAGAATATATGGTCAGCCACCTTAACTCGTTCCGGTATATAGAGATGGATGGGGAATTCATTGAGACCCCCTTTCAACACTTTGAAGAGGTGCCTCAGACACTGGCGTCCACAGAGACTGTGACTGAAGAAGATTCTCCTTTGAAGATGGCTTCCTTAAAGTATGCCCGGGCTGTGTTTGAGAAGGGTGAGTGCGCAAACTGGGGCCGACTTCCTGATTTTACTCCGAAGACTGACAAGTTTGGTTTGGGTTTCACTGCAGAAGCTCAGAGGGCTGTTCGTAAAGCAAGGATTGGAAGACCTCCTGTGTTCATCACCAACCCGGGAGTGAATGCCATTGAAGACGATGTGGAGGAATCTGAATTCGACAGCTGGATCTACCCAACAACCAACGGTGGACAAAGCAACTGGACTGCCAAAGACTTCACACCTATTACTTTTGTCACTCAGTAATGAACTCCTTTGTTTTGAATTTGTAACGAACAATAATTTGAAACTTTATGGCCCGGTGTCTTACCCGGGGCACCGTGGCTTCATTTGTGAGGGCTTATTATTTGTCATTTTCATATATCATGAATAAAAGCATTGGACGTTTTTCGCATTTCAAATCTTGCGCTCCCTTTCTTTCTTTATTTATTGCAAAACAACTATATTTACACACACTCACCTATACAGGTTCCAATCCACTCTGGATCTCACTGGTAACGACTCTGCTATTGCCAGTTATGACTTCGAAAATCCGATCAACTTAGCCGAAGACGAAGGTGAAGATGATTGTGAAGTGCTTGGTGAGCTTGCAAGACTGTTACTCCAGGAAGAGAGGGCCATTCAGTCACATGAAGAGCCAGTGGAAATGGTAAATCTGGGTACTGAGACAGATAGAAAGGAAGTCAAGATTGGTGCCAATCTAGAGTTCAGTGTGAAACAACGGTTGATTCAGATGTTGCATGATTATGTGGAAATCTTTGCCTGGTCTTACGAAGACATGCCTGGGTTGGATACTGACATTGTGGCTCATCACCTGCCTACCAAGGAAGATTTCCCTCCGGTAAAACAGAAGGTCCGCCGTATGCGTCCAGAGATGTCCGAGAAAATCAAAGCTGAGGTTATGAAACAATTTGGCGCCGGTTTTCTAGCAGTGACTTCTTACCCTCAGTGGGTTGCCAACGTGGTTCCAGTTCCGAAGAAGGATGGTAAGGTCCGAATGTGTGTTGATTACAGGGATTTGAACAGGGCGAGCCCTAAGGATGATTTCCCTCTGCCTCATATCGACGTTCTGGTTGATAACACTGCTCAGCATAAGGTATTCTCCTTCATGGACGGGTTCTCCGGTTACAATCAGATCAAGATGGCTCCTGAAGACATGGAAAAGACCACTTTTGTTACTCAGTGGGGCACCTTCTGCTACAAGGTCATGCCTTTTGGGTTGAAAAATGCTGGGGCAACCTACCAACGTGCCATGATTGCTTTATTTCATGACATGATCCATCATGAGATCGAAGTATATGTCGACGATATGATTGCAAGGTTCCAAACGGAGGAGGAACACCTTGACCATCTACAGAAACTGTTTGATCGTCTGAAGTTGTACAAGCTGAGGTTGAACCCAAACAAGTGCACCTTTGGGGTGAGATCTGGAAAACTACTAGGTTTCGTTGTAAGTGACAAAGGTATTCAAGTGGACCCTGCCAAGGTGAAAGCCATACAAGAGATGCCAACTCCCAAGACAGAGAAAGAAGTCAGAGGCTTTCTAGGACGGCTGAACTACATTGCCCGATTCATCTCGCATCTAACTGCTACCTGTGAACCAATCTTCAAGCTACTGAAGAGAGATCAAGTGGTACGTTGGAACGATGAATGTCAGGCCTCTTTCGAAAGAATCAAAGAATATCTCCAAGAGCCACCCATCCTTATGCCACCGGTTGAAGGGAGACCTCTAATCTTATACTTGACAGTACTTGACAGCTCAATGGGGTGTGTGCTGGGGCAGCATGACGAGTCTGGCCAAAAAGAGCATGCTATTTATTACCTTAGCAAAAGGTTTACCGACTGTGAGACCCGATACTCACTGCTCGAGAAAACTTGTTTCGCTTTGGTATGGGCTGCTCGCCGGCTGAGACAGTATATGTTGACTCACACTACCCTGTTAATTTCAAAAATGGATCCAATAAAGTACATCTTCGAAAAGCCTGCCTTGTCCGGAAGAATAGCAAGATGGCAAATGATCTTGACAGAATATGACATCCAGTGCACGACTCAGAAAGCAATCAAGGGAAGTGTATTGGCAGACCATTTGGCAC